GTTAGAGGACGAGGAGGAGGACGACGAAGAGGAGGAGCTGCTGGAGGACGACGACGAGGAGCTGCTGGAGGAAGATCCCAGGGCGCTGCTCAAGGAGCCCGGGCGCTGCTCCGTGGCCGCCGCCGCCGCCGGCACAGTGGCCGCCGCCGCTGCAGCCGCCGCCGCTGCCGCCGGGGCCAGCGAGGGCGGGGAGCTGTCGCCCAAGGAAGAGCTGTTGCTGCACCCGGAGGACGCCGAGGGCAAGGACGGGGAGGACAGCGTGTGCCTGTCGGCGGGCAGCGACTCCGAGGAGGGGCTGCTGAAGCGCAAGCAGAGGCGCTACCGCACCACCTTCACCAGCTACCAGCTGGAGGAACTGGAGCGGGCCTTCCAGAAGACGCACTACCCGGACGTCTTCACCAGGTAGTCTTCACTGAGGGCCCGGGAGTGTGAAACTGGGGGGGGGGGCAGAGTAGGGGAACTTTCTTTTGCATCCCAGTACAGCCTCGGCGAGCGCGCACACACACACACACACACACACACACACACACACGGACTCACGCAAGCACGCACGCATGCACGCACGCAGGCGTGCTGTAAGTTTCGGCCGGTGTGCTTTTCTTTCCGTCCCAAAGCCCTCTGTACTTTCGTGTTTGCCGGTGACAAGTTTAGGAGCGAGCCAAACAGCCTCTCCCCAGAGCACCCGAAAGCGGCCACGTTGGGCCCCCACACGGACAGCTCCAAGCCAAGCGCTAAGACCGGAACCAGGTCCTGGCCAAACACAGGACACACTGCCCCGAGAGCAGGCGCTATTTTTGACCCCTGTACCGTGTACTGTGCGCGGCCCACCCTCCTCCCGGTGACCCAAGAGTCAGTGGGTATCAGTTACTCTGTTCTCAGGAGAACTGGAGCCCTTGCCTTCAGGGAAGACCTTTAAAAAGCTCCGAGTTTTTGTCACTTGGGGACTCCTGAAATAACCAAAGAAGTCAGAACTTAGCAGCATCTGCTGTCTGTACATAAGAAAGGCACCAGCCAGACTCTTCCCTTGTGTTTCTGTCTCAACCCCCATACCCACTGCATCTCCCGTGACTTCACTGTAAATGGGTTGATGGGGTGGACCATGATTTCTGGAGATGTGGCAGATGGTAAATCAAACAGCTGAGGTGGAGGTGGGGGCGGCAAGAGTTTGTCTCTTGGACTAATGTACACTTCCCAGTCTGAGAAACTTGGGCTGATGGGATAGCTGAGCCTCAGAACCCCTGCCTATTCGGTGGGCTGACCTAGGGGTACCAACAGGCTTGGAGCCTTTCCCACCCATGGGCCAAGATTTAGGCTCGGACTAGGAGCCAACGTTAGGGGCAAAGGAAAGAAGAAAGAAAGAGACCGGTCCCTCAGTGAGAACACAGAAGGAGACCTGTGAGTGCCTGGCTCGCACGCTCCTCGAGCCTGCAGCTCCTTCCCAGCTTTTCAAAGTGCATTTTCCAAAGGGAAAGCTGCCTGTCCTTTTGAATCAGAGAAATCTCTGCTTAGGACTCAGGGCCTGAGACAACTCCAAAACATAGTTGGTCTGGCCGTTGCCAAACTCTTGTCGCCAGAAGCAACCAAAAAGTGAATTTAATGCAGGCGAGGGCACGGAAATTTGGTCCTCCTCCGTGTCACTCAGTCTTTCCCGTGTCGTTGAAGGCACAACTAAAACTCCAAGTCAGCATGTGCTATTCTATCACATAGCTAACGGGACCCGTTGATTTTAGTTTTGTGTTTATCAGAGACGTGTACTTAAAAAGAAGAAAAGGACAGTGTCGCTTAGCATCGAAGTCCGCCTTTAGCTTGTGGGGGAGACCAAAGTACAAAACCTGAGCAACTCCTCTTCATCGCCCCACCCCCCATCTCTTTCTAGCTCAGCAGGCCTAACTCCTGGGCTAGAGCCTAACCAGACTGGAGTGGAATTTTAGGTTTGCTGGTGCTCTCTGCAAAGGGGGTGGGGGGGGGGGAAGAGTGTTCAAAGGAAGGTGTTTAGTGAATTAATTCTTTTCTCGGGGCTGAAGAAGTTTCAGGTGCCAAGCAGGTCCCGCGGGCAGCGCAGACCCAGGCCCCAGGCTTAGGCAGCCCCTGCTCTTTCGTATTAGGGAGCAGAGAGCCAATTACTCTCGGTGCGTTCGTGTATTTTCGGTAAACAGGCCGTAAGCCGGTTTACAGCATCTTAATGGTTTCCTATTTGCCTTAATTGTCGCAGTAATAACTGCAATAACGGGGTAGGGTTTCAGCTAAATTGACTTCCCCTGAGATGGGCAGGGTTTGTAGTGGGCACTGGAGTCAGGAGGTGCGCAGAATTTTGTTTAATCGAAAAATTACCCCACTGAACCCTTAACAAGCTTAACATATCTCCAGAGGGTAATGGGGAGTGTGACCTAAGGGTGTAAGGGAGGGCAGGGGGGAGGAGGGGGAGAGATGGAGGAAAGGCAAAGAACTGGAAAGAGGGGCAAGAACCGAAGGGAGATAAATTTTTCTTAAACGCAAAACAAAGCCAAGAGGGCAGAAAACAAAAATTGTAGTTTATTGCTGAGCTCTTCTTCCATCTAATATTTGAATAAAAGAGGGCCATGAGCACTGTGCCTGTGTGTGTGTGTGTGTGTATGTGTGTGTGAGTATGTGTGTGTGTGTGTGTGTGTGTGTGTGTGTGTTTCCCACCCTGCTCTAGCCTAAGAGATTGAGAGAGAACTCATTTGTCTAAGTTTGAAGACTTATGGACTCAAGAATCCAACCCTGTCACACTGTGTGATATATTGTATAATATTTTATATTTGTCACTGTGCTGGTTTTGTTTTGTTTTGTTTTGTTTCTGTTTCAATCAAATAGTAGGCATGCTAGAGGTGAAGATGAGTCATACCCATGTACTTGGGGTGTGGACTGGAAGACACTGTCATGAAGGGGGAAGGTGGCTGAGAGAGGGCTACTGGGGCCTACTGTGACCTTCAGTCTGAATGTTGCTTCCTTATAGGGAGGAGCTGGCCATGAGGCTGGACCTGACTGAGGCCCGAGTCCAGGTGAGCTCCGAGAAGGGATGAAAGAGGGTGGGGGAGAGGTGGAGGGCTGCCTTTCAAATATAAAGAAGAGAAACCAAATTTGAAAAGTAGACCCAAGCACTCACAACACAAAAAGATATTTCAAAAGCAAGCTGCAAACTGGGAACTACAAAAAGGAAGGTTTCTGTGTTTGGGAGCTTAAAGAAGTAGCCTGGGATCAAAATGGGGAGGGGGGGCTTTTTAGTCCCTGAGAGAGCAACTCAATAGCCCCCCATCCCAACCTGGTACCCAAGGCCCCTATAGAAAACAATCCACCAGCCGACTTCTCCTGATTGAAATAATAGGATGGAGCATGGATTTGGTTGTTAGACAAATCCGCTCAGCTCCAAGCAGGTATTTGGCTGCGATTAAGTCTCCAATCGGGCTTCATAAAAGCCCACTTAGTGCTAGAACAAACAGGGCCATTTGAAGGCAAAATGCTGTTTGATTTCCCCTCCGCCCTGCACAAGGAGCTGGCTAATGCTATTTGATTTCCCATTTTTTATAGCAATGAACCCACATTGATCTAATAGGGAGTGAGTGCAATGCTATTAAAGGTGTTTGCAGCCCCATACCAGAGTGCATTTCCGAACCCAGGCCTCATAACCAAAGAGACAATCAACACTGGGCAGCCCCGATGGCCAACAGAAAACAGATGTCCTCGGGTTAGGAGCTGACTGAATCACTTTACAGTCAAAATCAAGCGCTGATAAAGCACAATAAATTCCATATGGCTCATTTAATACACAACAGCTTCTTGCATTAGAGGGCTAATGATGAGGCTTGTTCCCTCCTTTCTGTTGACACATTTCTCCATTGTCAAACAGAGATGTGACAGCAACTCCACATTTTCAGCTCAGGGGAACGAGTCATGGGAAAGTTAAATAACTTTTTAAAAGAAAGAGAGAGAGACCACTCCCCTTCTCCTCTGCCCACTATTCACTGGAGAAGATGTAATTAAGTGAATATGAATTATCAGAGTCTCTTTCGTTTACCTTTGGGGGCCTCAGAGGTATTAATTCAATAATGAGGAATTGCAGGGGACATCTTGATAATTGCAGTTGAAGCAGAGGGTCCAAGAGACAGAGGCTCTCTCTTTAGAAAGGATTCCATGTCATTTAAGGCCCTTCTGCCTCCACTGCCCCCACTTCCCTTCCTTTCATTCCTTTCCCTACAATCAAGAAACGGCGGATATTCTGGTCTAGACAGATTGGATATGAGAAAGCTGGCAGTCCAGGCTAATCTAACTTTTTGAAGCCTTGGGTCTCCAAGATACACATATGGATTATTTGAAGGCTGATGAAGGAATGGCCCCCTTTCCCCAGAACCTTAAGACATCAGCCAGTTTGGGTTCTTGATTTTTTTTTTTCCTTGTCCTAGATGACTGTCTAGAAGTCCAACCAAGCTCAGCTGCTAATGCAACTCCCCACCCCCAGCCCCCTTGGAAATTGGAAAGATCGGGATGTCTGTAAATTTTTTAAAAAGATGTTCCTCTGTGCTAATTCCCATTATATTTTCATTTAATTCTGTATAGCCCCCAGAGTTCATTCTTAATTTTTAGACTCATGTGCAGTCACAAACTCAGCCCTAAAAATATTAATGCCTTCTGGGGAGAAGGCACATGGCTTCTGAGCTGTGGGAGTGATGAGCAGGTCACATAAAAATGATTTCATGCTCTTGGGGGATATTTTTAGATGATGGTAGCTGCCATATTTCAGGTAAAGGTCTCTATTCAAAGTGCTTCTTATTAACAATTAGGAAAATACCTCAGGCTGGAAACCTCCCCCAATCCTGAAACTACCTTATTTAAAGAACCCCGCGAAAGCATTTTTTCCCAGGCTCCCCCCCCCCCCTGAAGGCGCTGAAGATGACTTCCGGTGCTCAGGTGATCCTGCCTTATTCCTTCCAGCAGTTGGGGACGTGTCATGCAGAGCCCCTGCGGAGAGCCTGCTTTGGACCCCCTCTTTCATTTCCTGGAGTACTAGCCCTCTCATATGCACAGCTGTTTTTCACTTTCCAGAGGCAGTTCTCTCCTCTCTGTCAACCCATCCAAACCCCAGAATGTGTTCAGTAACTATTTTACTTTTATTTTTTTTTTTTTACAAAGAATAAATAACCTTCCTGCTTTGCTTTTCAAGAGAGAGCAGACATTGCCCAGGCTCTTGGATAAGCCCGAAATACGTGAAAATCTAAAATATCCAGAATAGATTTGTGGTTCATGGCTTGATGCCTGCCCATTCTCAACAGTCATCAGTATCTGGTTTGATTTGTTGCCTTATATGCATTCTTCATTAGAATCTGATGAAAAAAAAAAAGATTTATTGGCTCCATTTTACAGATTAGAAAACTGAGGTCCAGAGAAGTTTAAATGAAGTTTTGCAACAAAGAAGAGTCAGCCCAAACCTGGCAACCTAGGCGATCCCAAGTTTTAACTTTCCTCTATTTTGGAAGCCTTGGCTAGACACCACATTTAAGGGTTTGCTTGTTCACTGGTTCCTCCTGAATTAATGTCAGGGCTGCTTTTCATCCAGAAACCACAGAAGGCTAGCTTGGGCTCAGGAACAATGGCAGGAGGAAGAGAAGGCCCTGGGAGTCCAGGGAAGGGGCGAGCCAGAGCTGATCCCACTCGGGCCTCTCTCTCCGTTTTGCAGGTGTGGTTCCAGAACCGTCGGGCCAAGTGGCGCAAGCGAGAGAAGGCTGGCGCGCAGACCCATCCTCCGGGACTGCCCTTTCCCGGGCCGCTGTCGGCTACCCACCCGCTCAGCCCTTACCTAGACGCCAGCCCCTTCCCCCCGCACCACCCTTCGCTGGACTCAGCTTGGACAGCGGCTGCCGCCGCCGCGGCAGCCGCCTTCCCGAGCCTACCTCCGCCTCCCGGCTCTGCCTCCCTGCCGCCCAGCGGGGCGCCGCTGGGCCTCAGCACTTTCTTAGGAGCAGCTGTGTTCCGGCACCCGGCCTTCATCAGCCCGGCGTTTGGCAGGTAACTAACTGCAGCCTTAAGGGGCTCTGCCCGTTGGTCGGTCCGTCTGTGTGTCAGTCTGGGTCTCCCTACCCAAGCAGCTGTTGAGGTCTGAGAGGAGGCAGGACGGGGTGATACACGTTTCAACCTCGGTGAGTTTTTTACTCAAACAAAATGGCCTTTGATTTTTTTTTCCTTAAAAGAAAAAGCAGCTCTGGAAGACAACGAATTAGGAGTAAGGAGGAAAGGGGAAGGGAATTGACAGTAGCAAGAGTGACAGCTGGAAATTGTTCATGAAAGTGGAAAAAAGTCTGGTTTGAAGGTACCCTCCGCCAGGGGTGCTTTGAGTGAACAGGTGTAGGCTCCAGAGCTGGGAGGACTTTAAAAATCTTGCAAAAGTCCTTCTGCAGGCCACAGAGCTTGGAAGGGTGAGGGACGCACTTGGAGCCCCCTACAGGAGCCCAGGAGCCAGGAGGCCCTTCAAGTGCACAGAACTGTTTCTTCCCCCCACTCTATGTTCCCCATTACTCCTATGACCCGGTGCCAACAGTACCCCCATATGTGCAAACCCCGATCCTGACAGCGGCACAAGACAACGAAATAAAAGAACCATCTCATCGTATATAACTCCCTTTCTTTAAATGAACATTGAATGATGAAATAAAAAATCGGGATAATCACACAGACAAAGAAACAAAGGAGGGGAGTATTAAGTTGGAAAGTGCAGTGAAAATAAAACTGAATGCAGCTTCAATGATCTCTCTTTGGGAGAACAAAGAAATAATAGATTCATCCAACTGCGCAGCTACTCAGCAACAAAAAAAAAAAATTATACATGAGAAAACTGAAATAGGACTTGAGGGAAAAGTAATGTACCAAACCACGAAAATACCTAGCGAGTGCCTTAAAGTGCAGTTAAGCGGGGTTCCTCAGTTTACCTAATGGAGCGAAGGCATGTTACACCCCCTCCAGGTCACCCATTATCATTTCTTTCTGGATAAAACAGAGTCCGGTGTCTCCTTCCTACTTTCCCCCCTCTGACAACAAAACCAAGCGACCCCCCTGAAACACTGGAGATATCTCGAGGTTGGAAGGAGGGGGAGGTGGATTTGGCATGGTGAGTGAAGAGAAAGCTGGAAGCTAGGAGCAGGGGGCTCCAAGAGCCCAGGTGGGCTCGTTTCTAATTGAGAAAATTCAGGGCTGCAGCAGGAGCCCTTGGGGAGATGGCTGGAAAAACAGGCCAGGCGGCCAGGGTGGAGGTAAGGGGCCTCGGGGCGTTCGAGCCTCTCAGCTGAGGGTCAAGGGTGTTGTGGAGAAGGGCTGAGAGTAATCCCTGCGCGCAGAGCAATCCCGGTGGCACCCAGAGCCGGTGGCGCAGGCTCTGGCACCGGTCCCAGTCTAAGTGGGACCACCAAGGCTTGAGTGGTGCCAGGGGCTCGCAAGCCTGGGAACTATCTGGGGGTGGGATGGGGGGAGGGAGGGAGGCGTCTGGGGCTCAAGGAAGGCGGTGAGGGAAAGGAGTCTCGGCGCGGGGCGTCCGGAAGGTCCAAGCCGCCTGCGGAGAGGAAATCAACAGGCTGGCACTCAACCTCGCTCCCCGCCGGCGCTGGAAGTTTAGCCTAGCCTCGCGCGAAGGGTGCTTCGCCAGAGCTGGCGGACTGCAAAGCCAGCCCTCGAGGCCAGCTTTTCCTGGGCTCAGGCTCAGAAGGAGCCCCAGAGAGAGTTCAAGGTCCGCAGCGTGGGTCTTGGGTAGTTTCTAGTCTACTTTCTGCATCCCTTCCTCCCCCCCCCCCCATTAGCTTTTTCCTTCTCTTCTCTTCTCTTCTTTCTTTCTTTCTTTCTTTCTTTCTTTCTTTCTTTCTTTCTTTCTTTCTTTCTTTCTTTCTTTCTTTCTTTCTTTCTTTCTTTCTTTCTTTCTTTTTTCCTCCTGTTTCTTTCTTCGGTCCCTTTCCACTTGCTCTTCTTCCAACAGCATCCCTCCAGGAGCTGACCTCGGAACACAGGCTTTCTTAACTGAAACCCCAGAATCCACACACTTGGCCCTCGTGATCTGGGCTGTGGGACCTACCTCTGGCTCTGAATTCGTTCTCCTCCCAACCCTTGACGTGTCTAGTCCCTCGAGCTTTCTCTTCCTGGTGGCTACCCTTCTTGGCCAAACCACCAGCCCACACCAGTTGCAGCCCGAGCCCCGCCCGGCCCAGACTCTCCCAGCTGCGCCATGCCCTCCAGCCCCCCGCCGCCCGGGTGACAGGTAGCCAGATTCGCTGCCCCGGGAGCCTCGCTCCGCTCCCGAGGCCGTGACCGCGCTGTTTGCTCTCCCCCCCCCCCCCCCGCAGGCTCTTTTCCACCATGGCCCCCTTGACCAGCGCTTCGACCGCCGCTGCACTCCTGAGACAGCCCACACCGGCGGTGGAGGGCGCGGTGGCCTCAGGCGCGCTGGCCGACCCAGCCACCGCCGCGGCAGACAGACGCGCCTCCAGCATAGCGGCGCTGAGGCTCAAGGCTAAGGAGCACGCTGCGCAGCTCACGCAGCTCAACATCCTGCCTGGCACCAGCACGGGCAAGGAGGTGTGCTAAAGGCTGCCCTCCGCCATTGCGCTCCTTGGGCGCGACAGGAAAGGTCACCTCAACTCAGCACCACTCAAGACCAAATGGAAACAGAGGACCAGCACACTCCCATGACGGCACAGACAGAGCGCAGCCGCCGCCTTCGCAGCAGCCTGGAAGCGGACGAGGCAGCTCTTGGCGCTAAAGGACACGGCACCTCTTTCGATGGCTGTCCCCCTGCCCCTGCCCCTGTCCCTACCCCTGCCACTTTCCAACGTCGCTCCAACTCAATCGTCCACTCTCCCACTCTTACCTTACTGAAAAATAACGGGGAGGGTTTCTCCCCAAGATGCCTAGTATTGAAGTTTAAAAAAAAATTAAAAGCCCAACCTTCCCCACTTAGCTTTTCTTTTGAATAGCATTTTGGCGCTCTTAGTTGATTTCAGCGCGGCCCGGCTACACGCCAGGGCCAGGGAAGCGAATGCGAATCTGTAAGATAACTAACAGTGCACTTAAAGAAAAGGGGCGTCTCGTTCTTGTTCTCTTCTTTATCATACACCAACCAAGGTTTTTATATCAAACCAAAGGGAAATACTCTGCTAGAATATGGACTGTTGAAGTCACCAAACTGTGATTATTGATTCTGTACATACCATTGTTATTAAAAAAAAAAAAAAAAAGAACAGAGCTTTGTATATTTGAAATGTTATAACGCAATTGCACTCAGCGTGGTATGGTAAAAATTTGTCCTCCTGTAGATTCTTACTGTGTTGTAGATACAGTAGGGTTCCTAGACAAATATTTATGTACTCAAGCCCTTTATTTAACTTATTAACTGTAGAGGCTTCGGAAATCTTCAAGATAAAGGCAATGGTACAGTGCTTTTGTGTAATGTGTAATTGTTATCACTTTTCCTTGCTATCTAGTGGAGAAGTGTCACACTCAAAATAAAATATATATCTATATATATCTATATATATATGTTTAACAAAAGGAAGTGTGAATGCTCTATGGAGACCCTGAGGGGACTGTACAAACCCTTGCCCTGCACTGAGACTCTGCTGATATAGCACCTCCTGAGTTTAGATGGCCGCGCATCTTCCAGGCAGAGGACCCTGGTTTGAATGTGACCCTCAAAAAGGGCACCACAGTGGCATTTCCCAAGAGCTTCACAACTATCCCAGTTGCAGCTGAGAATCCTGGGTCAGGAAGACTGTAGGGTGGGTTCCACGGTAGGTGGGTGTATACTAGGTGTTGCTGAAAACCGTGACAAGAGAAATTTGAAGCAAGCGGAGTCTTGGTTGAAAGGGAAAGGAAGCTCCTCCGGGAAAGTACCACATAGCAAGGAAATGCGAACGCGCAGTCCGAGGTGACAGGTAGTGACTAGAGCAAGAAGCCAAGGCATTCCGGCTTCTGAGGGGGCGGAACACTAGTAGGGAGTGGGGGAAGGACGGAGGAGAGAGAGAGGGAGAGAGAGAGAGAGAGAGAGAGAGAGAGAGAGAGAGAGAGAGAGAACACGGAGGACGTGCGGGAAGAGTGATGGAAAGGCTACCGGTATTCCAGTGGTAGATCTTAACCCGACAAATGTCATTACATCAGTTATCTAGACATTGGGAAATGTATACATTTTTTTTAAAGAGTCCAAATAGTTCGGGTTTAGCTAGGAGACCCAAAGAGATTTGGCATCTTTCACCTAGGCTCACCCCTCTCGCGGCGGGAACTGTAGCTCCCCTCGCACTCCCGGACCCTGCCCGCGGCGCCCCTTCGGGTGACCGCTCGGTGGAAGCCCGCCCGCGGGGGCTGGGTCTCGCCAACGCTCCCAGGGTGATGGGAAAGGGAAGGGAAGCTTAATTAGTTTCAATTTGCAGCAATTAGCGCGCCGGACCTTTGGGGAGAGGAGCAGGAGGGAAGGGGGGCGCTGCGCGGTCTGACTACCAGGGCTCACGGAGTAGAGGACCGCCGCCCCACCAAGACGGCAGCCACCAGGGGGGGGATCGTGGGCGCATCTCAGGGGTCCAGGTCTGTCACGTGCACCCTGTTAGCAGAAGGTGGGGAGCTGGGTCTCTTAGCAGCCTTAGCGAAGGTGCGGTCTCAGGCAGAGGTCAACAGTCCTCAGGGCACCGCGACTGTCTGGGGAGGTGGGCAGGCCTGGGTGGTGGGGTGAGGGGCTTCTGCTGAGCCTTTGGCACGATCACGGGGCCCTGTGGCCCGAGCGCCTGCCCTTTCAAAATCCCAGAGAGCAGGCCACAACAGTGGCCAGCCCCAGCAGCTGCTTTTTGGATTTTTTTTTTCTGTCTGTCTTGTGCATCACAACAACCTTAGCCAGGTCTGGAGTTGCCAGGGTGGCTCTCCCAGGCAGAGACCCGGTCTGGGCCACCAACTACCATTCTCACCACACGCTCCTTTCCCAGCTTTGTTACTAAGGCCCAGTTGGAACTTTCTGGGGCACTTCTCCTAGACCCACAGTTACCCCTTAGACTTGCATGGGTTTTCCCAGAAAAAAAAAAAAAAAAAAAAAAAAAAAGTTGTTTTCCTGGAGTGGACAGGGCTATAATGGATAGCAGAGTTGCAAGAGAAGCGGGAGGGGAGGACTTATTTATTTATTTCTGGTAAATATCACTTTTCTGTCGATTTTGGCTTTTTGTTTAGTAAGAAGGCTTCATTCCACCTCCACCCCACCCCCCACCCCCTTTCAGGCTGCCAGTTGGATGGTATACGAGAAACAGTACCATTCTTCCTGTTAATGAACTTTTTTAAGTCATTTTTTCTCATTTGACCCTTCCATGGAGCAGAAGCAAATTGCGTGAAATTACCTCCAAGGATTACATTTATTACTGGCCAATGAGAACCCCTCGCCTTGTTTTACAAACTCTTAATCCTATGTCATTCTGATGCCGCAAACAAGCCCGGGCCTGGGCCTCCTATTCTTTCAACTTTCCCCAGCTGGAGGGACCTCATTCTGCAATTAATATTCCCCATAAATATCACACGCTAAAGACCCCCTGACTTTCAGCAAGTCCACATTAAACATGTGACATGTCACGCATGACAAACTCTGAGTATCTTTTCAAAGCAGCATTAAAAGCAAAGAAACCAATTTTCTTCTCCTTCCAAACCTCCCCAAGTGCTGAATGATGGGGATTGGAAAGAGTCACTGGAGCGTACTTAGGGGATTTTATGAGATTTTCCAGAATGATTTAATCTTATTGTGAGCATTATTAATGAATGGCAACCCAATTTGGCCCCAATATCTGGGAACTCAGTCACAATACTGGGAGCGGCTGACAAAACCCCCCTCCCCAACAACCTTAAGCAAACCTCTTCCACCACTGAGGAGGACATGTGGAGGCCCAGAGATTTCAGGAGAGTCAAATTCATGGCAGGACTATCTCCTCTCACTTGCAAAACTGAATTGCCTGACACCTGTTTTCCCAAAGCCACTGTGGGGTGAGAGGTGATTGGGAGTCCTGTATAAGCCTCTGCAGGGAAGTTGGAGAGGAAGGATAAATTGATTTGTTACATTTCCCAGACAGGTTAGGCAGATCAGGAGAAGACCCAGGCAAGAAGGGAGCAGTTGGCATACTATTAGAAAATGTTCTGTCTCAGACTACCCACGGCCTGGACTATAGGCAGTAGGGAGGGCAGGCCTGGACTATAGGCAGTAGGGAGGGCAGACATGTTAACTGCGCGATGACAACGGGATGAATTTGGGAGAGTGACTGCGGGAAAGAACCTCAGTATTAGGGTAGCTATTGGTATTGGCCTCCATCAGTTTCCTTCCCACCCCCTCCGTATTGTGGCCCCCACCCAGCTGGGACAAGATTTGTTATCGTTAGTTTTTGATTTGTAGTATCAGCCCTCAAAAGCACCAGAAGGTCTGGCTTGCATAGTTTGGAGTGCAGATATTTCTATAGTGAAAAAAGGGGCTGATATTACAGGAGAGGAAATTATACATGGGTTAACCCAACTTGCTTTTAGAAGAAAAACTGTGTACGCGAGCATGTGTGAATGTGTATACACAAAAGTGAGTGTGTCTCAATGAAAGGGGTCTTAAATGGAGCCTAAAATGGTATTTTGGAACACAGAGTTTCCCAGAGCAACTGCATATTTCAATGACAGTGGTAGCCTGACTGGGAGGGGGGAGCAGGGAGAAAAACCCCACTACCTGAAGAGGAAAAAGCATTTTTCAAAAGGAAAAGTCATGTTGTCCCTGGACGTTATTAACGGTCCAGTTTGAAGTATACATTTTTTCCTTTTAAGAAAAGGGGGCGATTACCAGTTATACATTAAGAAATGTCATTCAGTCATTTTTATTCATTCTCCGGAAATCTTCGTAAAAGCCTGAATCATACTTGTACAAGCAGCAATTTTGTTAATCCAGGGGGTTATTACTCTGGGCCCTTATTAGGTTCTACACCACTGCCAAGCAATCCTATAACCCTCTCAAAAGAAGTTTACCTCCCTGTTATAAAACCAGTAGTGGTATTTATACTGTGCAATAATTAGTGTATTACTTGAATCCACTAACATGTTCATTTTATCTCTGCACAAAACCTCTAGTCTGCTTATAGAAAGCTAGTGCCTCCTTTGGTGCTGTTAAAGTGGTGAAAGAGTGAATTGAAGGCTGGTTGCACTTTCTCCTTTTGCCTCGCCTTAATTCCCATCTCTTTTTGCTCTCATCCAATTAGCACAGTGTATTAAGCGGTTTATCATCTCATAGTCAGCTATTGAGAGAAACAAGGCGAGCACTTTGCAATAGAACCTGCGCTCCTTTGACACCCTCAGGTACTTACATATTCCACTGCGCTATGAATAATAGAGGAAGAATGGAGCGCTAATTCCCTCATCAAAGAATGCCTTGTCTGCTGCTTTGCTCAACAACACCATTCTGATCAAAAGAAAAGCAATAAAGCTTAGCATAACAAAACGAAACCTACTTATTAGCTTAGTGGTTAAATTAATGCAGAGCCGCTGCTATTCAAAACCAAGGTTTGAAAACAGCCTCCAACAACCTGATAATGCTGCCTTCGGGATGAAGGAATTTTAATCTGAAATTTGAGGCTGGCTCAGATGAGTTAATCTATTAAAGTGCTATAAGGAAGCTCTGCCACAAACTGTTCAATTAAGAAATATTTAGGTGAGGAGAAAGAGGAGAGAGGACAGAGGTGGGAGGAGAGGGAAGGAGGGGGAGAGAAAGGAAGAGAGAAAGAGGGAGAGGTAGATGAATTTAAGTTTTGATTGGGAATGCTGACTAGCATTGAAGTGAGGGGTCCAGGTTCCTGAAGAGGCCTGTGCTTGATGCTTTTTATAAAACCCTGACACAGATGGCAATCTGTTTTTATAGTTTCCTTGTCTTTGCATCTTCTGTCAAACTCATATTAAATTATATCTTAGGGTGCTCACAGGTGGCAAGGGGTGAAGCGGGTTAAAGGCAACGGACACATTGCCTTTCCTCATCCTGAACCCCAATCTGTAAACCTTGATCAGCCCACCACAGTCTAAGCAATTGCCACAGAACTGACTTCATCCATATTTTATTTAACAAAATTCGAATATTTTGTGTGTTCTCTATGGATTTTCAACTTCTAGCCTTCCCTATAACCTTTGTATGAAGGACAGCTGAAAGCTAGCAAGCTGGGTCCAAGGGAAGTTTGTGTAAGGATCTGCAACAGCAGCAGGCCCAACCTAGATCTTAAATTAAACCAAAAACTTCTGAGGCACAAGGCCTTGGGCAGAGCAGGGCCTTTATGTTATCATTTCCCAAGTAATTGCAGCAGGTTTAGCCCAAAGGTTTAATAGTCTTAAAAACAAACAAACAAACAAACAAAACCAATTGCCAGCCAGGTGTCACATGCATTTAGTCCGAGCACTCAGGAGGCAGAGGCAGGTGGATCTCTGAGTTTGAGAACAGCCTGGTCTATAGGGTGAGTTTCAGGACAGCCAGGGCTACACAG